AGATCATAATGAAATCGGATTAAAATGAAACTGAGGACCTTTCTTGCTCATCTTTAAAGCTTATAAAACCCACTTATCCTCTTTTATTAATAAAACTAACTCTAAACCCTAACCCTAACCCTAAAAAATGTCTCCAAAAAATTTTAAATTTTTTTAAAAAAATAGAAAAATTTCATTTTAATCCGATTTCATTTTAATCTGCCACAGTTGTATTTAGATAAGCGAGAGGATTTATATATAGTAATTTGGCAATATGAAAGAAAGCGTGATATGTATTTAAAACAGAATAACATTCTTTATTTATAATAAAAGAAAATATTTACTAATAATAACAAATGGTAATTTAAACTACTAATGTCTCATTCTTTACAATTAAAAGAAAGAGAGATATAAAAGAAAGAGAAGGATTAAAAGAAAAAGAGACAAAAAACGTGAAAAAGAAAGAGAGAGACAAAAAATAGTGGTAAATAACGAAAAATAGCAAAACCAAGCCTAATCTGACTCGCACTTTTTTAATTAACAATGTTGGAACCCCAAATTTCACAGAAAGAAATAAAAGGGATGCCAGGACACTGGAACCTGGACAGACTATTATTATCTCCCATCATTAAAATTCCTATTTCATCGAGGTTCGGCAAAATAAAATACGCTCGTTTGCCTTCATTTTAATAAAAAAAAAAAAAAGCCTATTAATTAAAAGCATAGCTATAGGACAAAATTAAAGATTAACACGTTATCTTGGTAAATAGATTCCACACCATATAGTTAAGGTTGAGTTGGTTTGTATTGGAATTATTGCGATTTCTATCACAGCATGAGGCACCAACAAGGATGTGGTGGCATGTGAAACGGCAGATTATTGTGGTAGAAAAAGGAGCAGAAGTCATCTTTGGCATTTTAATGCCTCTATTCAAAATAAACATCGATTTTATTAGTGTTTTTTTTATAGAAAAAGTTAAAAATTCGATGTAATAGTTTCAAGTTGCATACCTTCGAAGTTAAGAACTCAACTAAGTTAATGGTATTGATGCCTTGTCGATTACAAGTATGCTTTTGCAAAAAGGCAAGGCTGAATAGATCCATTTTTTGGCTCTTAAGTTAACTTTTACAAAGTTAGGTTTTTGAAAAAAACGCTTTAAGAAAAAAATAAAGTTTTTAAAAAAAATCGAAAAACTAAGAATTTTAAATGTTTTTAATCAGAAAAAAAAATATAGTAAACAATTGTTTTTGGTAACGTGACTTCAACCAATCAGATCGTAAAATTTTATAATAGCGTGATTAATATTAACCATAACCCTAACGTTAATACGTATTACCGTAAAAGTTCATATACATACCCGGGTGCGAACTTTATTAATTAAATGCGATTTTTTTCAGATAGTTAGAATGCCTATTATAAATACAAAGTGTCTATGCACTTTAAATTTTTTCTTAACCTCTGGGCGAGTACTAGACCTCGGGTGTTTAAAAATTGGTGGAACGAAACAAATCCAGTGTATATGAACTTTTACGGTAATTAAGACGCAGTTTAGATAACATAAATATCCGGAAAAAACCGTTTATTACATTATATCTAATATCCAAACATTGAGCATTTTAAACTTAATATTCTTGACATTAGCAGTACTTTAAGCTATGTACATTTAGTATAAAACGGTTGACCAATTTTATTATTATTATTTTTTATTTTTTTTTTTTGTATAAAATAATTAAAATATAAAATTTTTAATAACAAAACCTAGTATAATAAAGGAGTAATATATAACGTAATTATAGAGAGTACCCAAATCTTGCCTCTTGTATAACTAATGTCAATCTCCTGATTATTGTGATTTTTGTGCTTCAATTTTTTTTTCTTTTTAAACATTTGAACCTCCGAATGTTCCAACAAATGAACATATTATACATTAAACTCAGTCTAATCATAAAAAAAATGTTTGTTATGTGATGAAATAAGAAAAATGCATACCAAAATCGATTTTTTTTTTTTTTCAAATTATATTTTAAATAGAGATTCAGAAGACCCAAAGCTCTGCCAGAGATATTCAGTCAGTAAATAATAAAGCTAGAAAAAAAAAAAAGTGTATGTAAATTTAATTATAGTTAGAAGTGTTATTTCTCTTGATTGCAAGAATATTGAATGAATACCTCTCGATTTGCATTGTGTTTCATAATTGAGTGATCACTGTCAGTATAAAATTGTACGCGATAATTATGAACGGATGCCAAAGTAAATCTATCTATCAAGTTTGCTGTATTTTGGAAATGAACTAAATACAATTAAAAATATACATGTTAAAAAAAATAATCTCGTTCGTGATGCGAAAAGATATCGTCAAAAAAATCCTCCTTACCATTATCTTAACACAAAAAAATAGTTATTATATTAAAATAATGAATTGCCATAAAAAAAATTCTAGAAAAAAATAAAAATAATTACCATCACCAGTTCCGTGCACTACTAAGAATTTTGCATGATCGAATCCGGACATGTTGGTTATAGCACTATGCTGATAACCTAATGGGTTTAATTCAGGAGTTTTCATATAGCGTTCCGTGTAAATCGAATCATAGAACCTAGAAGAAAAAAAAAAAAGGATTTAAGAGATAAATCCAATCATAATAAATTTCAAATTTATAACTCACCTCCAGTCAGTGACGGGTGCGACAGCCATTCCTACTTGAAACACACCAGAGTCCATTTCGATAACTTTGGATGTCATAAAACCTCCAAATGACCAACCCCAAATGGCCATTTTACCAGAATCAACGTATGGTAAACTAGCCCAATATTTTGCTGTATTAATTATATCTGTTGATTCATACTCTCCCAAATGTTTCCTTACACTACAACGAAAAGTGCGACCTTTAAATCCAGTTCCTCTAGTGTCAACATACACAATAACATATTTTAAGCGTGGTGAAGATGCCAAAAACGTATGCCAATCAATACTGAACTTTGTATTAACATATTGCGAATTTGGACCTTCATATACTTGGAAAAGAACAGGATGTTTTTCAAGCCCAGATTCATCCATTCCCGGAGGTCGGATTTCCATTACGTTGAGTTCTATAATTAGATAGGAAATTAGATGTTGGTTATACATAGTTCAAAATGAGAATGCATTTCAAAAAGAATATTTACCATTTCCTTCACTCTCCACCGTAAACCGCCTTATTGTGGGTAATTCAATATTTTGAAGTAACTCTTTAAGATCATTGTTTTCTTGCAAGGTGATCCCGAATGCTAAAAGAAAACTGTGATTTAGCGATTTATAATGTTTAATATAAATTTTTGCGTGTAATTAATTTTTTTAAACATAACACTTACAACTATTGTCAACTTTCAATACTTTCTGCCATGGAACATCAGGGCCTTCATATTTGAGATTATAAT